GGGAAAGATCTGAGCTCTGTTTCTATTTGTGCAGGGGTAATTGGGTCTTTAAAAGAGAGAATGAAGTAACAGGAAGAGTGAGTGGACAGGGGCTCAACTAGTGTCAGGGAAGTGAAAAATTACAAAGAGCAAATAAAAGGTTGGTCAATGAATGTGATTATTCCAACTGTGTCTGGTAGCTGTTAGGATTCTGTTCTCCCAAAGAGACTTGGCCACAGATACCTTGTCATTCCTGATGATGACATTTCAAAGGAATGGCTTTCAGGTCCTTGAGAAGACTTTCCTAGCCTGTAGGAGAGACATACATATACTAACATAGCTCAAAGGGACAGAGGTTGGTTTTACAATTCTAAGACCTTAGTAAATGCTCAAAGGAAGGGAGTCAGGGCCTATCATCAGGTTTTGGCCAGAACAAAAATTTTTTTGACAACCTTGAGCTTTCTTAGACAATAACTCAAAGAGGGCCTGGGTCTCAGGGATGTGATTTTAGACCACTAGTAGCCATGAGTAGGCATGGTTAGGTCTCTTCTTAATGCAGGGGTTTGGGTGGAATTAACAGCCAGAATTCTTTTATAGGGCTCATCCAGTGCCAGATGGGAAGGGAAAGGGGCAATCTAAATAAAAGGAAGTGAGGACAAAGGCAGGAGAAGTGAGAAGTCATGGTCTGTTTGGCAATGCTGCATAGTTTAATGGCAGGATGTTGGGTGAGGAGTGGGAATAGATAATTCTGGAAAGATAATGCAGAGACCTCATTTCACCATGGCCAACTCCTGCCATGTTTTGTGCTTTGCCGGCTCCCTCAGACACCTGCAATGTTCTGCGGGCATCCCCTGGTGGTCATGCCAAGGAATTTGAATTCAATACTAGGGGAGATGGAGAAATAGTAATAATTAGGATCAGGGGAGCAGTGTCTTTTGATTTGTGCCTTGGAAATATGTAGCCACGGTGGTGGATAGTATAGAGGTGATGGTGAAATGGCAAGTTCAGAAAAATTAAGACATGGAGATAATTCAGATTCTATAAAATACTTCTCTAAAGAAATGGAAGACTGATCAATGGAAGGATAGACAAAGTGTGAAAGAGATGGATTAATGAAAAGAAAGGAACAGAATGTGAGCACTAGATGAAGAATGAGAGGGAAGAATTTGGGACGAAATTGAGGTATGGGCCCTGGGTGACCCAAAGGACCTTGTTGACATGGTTATCTAGTGTTTGTATCTTCTTCCTTATACACTGAGTGGCCAGATTATTATGATCTCTGAACACATAATAATCTGTCCACTCTGTGCATGAATTCGTGCATGGGCTGGGTCTGGACAGCTTGACCAGGGGGAGGGGACATGAGCAGTTGGCTAGCCAACCTGCTGGCCAATTTGCATATTAGCATATTTCTAACTCCTGGTTGGGGGGCAATTTGCATATTAGCCTTTTATTATATAGGATATACACTGAGTGGCCAGATTATTATGTGTTCAGAGATCGTAATAATCTAGCCACTTAGTGTCTACCTGGATCATTCCATTGATAAGAGATTTGGGAGGGAAGTGGCTCTCTGATCTGAATTTAGGAATCTTGATTATGGTTGGTGTTTAATGCTATTTGGTCAATTTACATATTAGCCTTTTGTTATATAGGATTGAGATATTATGATTATAAGGCTTTCCTATGTTGTTCTGTGAGCATGGTTAATTACATTAGTAGACTTTCTAATGTTCAGCTGCTCTCATATTTCTGGGATGAGCCCAACCTACTTGGGAATGAACTACATAGTTGCCATTTTCTTTGCTTGTTCCCACTGCTGCATCATGGACATTCCTTCTTGGTTTACTTTCATTCTTCCTGAAATATATCTTCTAGAATTTCCTTTAGTTAGCATCTATGGACATCAAGAACTCAACAGTTTTTGTTCATTTTGAAATGTCTTGATATGGCATAGAAATGGAAATTATAGATGGAAATCTTATAGTGGAATTCCCACTCTCTTTTATATTGTTGAAATCATTGCTATGGTAGCACTGGACTGAGATTGAGAGCCTAGGATTGAAGATCCAGTTTTCTCATTAAACCATTTTTGGCCTTGGACAAATCCCTTCCTATCTCCAAGACTTAGTACCCCCTGCCCCCCACCATACACACACAAAATTAGCTAAATGCTGTCTAAGAGCCTTTCGAGCTCTGACATTTATGAATGGCAACAAATGAATGAGTAGTTAGAATACAGAGAACAGAGAGGGCCAAAGAACATAAAATGAGTGATTTCAGAAAAATGGGAAAAGGGAAGGCAAGGTTATATGTCATATGGCTTTTTTTTTGTATACAACTTTCTGGTTGATGCCCTGATTGCCCCTCAGGAGCAGGAGGAGATGGAGAAGCAAGCCCTCAGGGCGATTGGGGCTGGCAGCCATCTATTGCACCTGCTGATGGTGCCAAGCTGAGTGCTGGCTGTGGATGCAAACAGGGCTGGAGCCAGCAGTGGTTGTGAGCAGTGACTCTAGCACTGGCAGAGAGTGCAATTGGAGATGTGAGTACCAGACAGGACCTTGGTATGTGGGAGCAAGAAATTTTCAGTAGCCACCAGAGGCTCACCCTGATAACAGTGACCGGTGCTCCATTTAGGTCTGGTGGCCCTGCTCACCTGTTCCACCATTTCACCATGGCCAACTCCTGCCATGTTTTGTGCTTTGCTGGCTCCTTCAGACACCTGCAATGTTCTGCGGGCATCCGCTGGTGGTCAGTGTGAGTCATAGCAACCAGTTGTTCCTCCATTTGGTCTATATGCATATTAGCCTCTTATTTTATAGGATGTGAGGGTAAAATTATTCCAGATCACAAGACTACTAAAAATAATATGAAACAATGATAGTATTTAAAATGCTAAGTTTCTCTCCTATGTGTCTGATTTTCCCCCCCAGCCATTATTTGTATTTATATCCATCACCTTTACTAGACTACAGGGAAGCAGGAACTGTATGTCTGATATATCTTTCCCCTAAGGTGCATAGCACTGAGCAGATTCTCAATGTTTGAAAAGTACACATACTACAGTTGGAATAAAAGTGAAAAAGTGAGCCAGTTGTTGGTAACAAGAGTGAACACCCCTAACCCCCCATCCCTAGTGAACAATTTATTTAGCTCCAGCTTTTAAAAAGAAACATGCTTTACTTTCAAGGTTAAGACACAAAGTAGTCAAGTCATGTCAGAACACATCTAATCTTAAGATTTTCTGTGCTAACAGTAGAGGAGAGCAAGTGGCTTCATACTACTGTCGGTTTCATATTTGCTTTGAGAGATATTGTTTCTCAGAGGACCATATGGAAAGCAAATGATACAAAGTAAGTAAAAGTAATAAGAAGTTTATTGAATTTCTAAATATAATAAAGTAGTTGCAGTTCTCTTACAGAAAAAAAGAAAAATTTTCATAATTATTATTATAGAGAATTCGAAAATATAATTGATAGAAAAAATTGATGGAAGGTAAATAGAAACATATTTTAATATAGTTTGATTACATAAATATAACAGGAAATACCCAAATCATTTGCTTATAACAGGTTTTTTTTTCCTCTTATTTTCATAAGGAGCCAAATAGGTTATTTAGCTCCTTATGCTTCTCTACTACATCATGAATGTTCATGGTTCATGATGTAGTAGAGAAATACAATTTGCTAAGGAGAAATAACAAATCAAAACCTACATTTCAGGAATACCAGGTCTTGGTCAGTATTATACAAGTGAAAAGGGCATATTCCCTCTACATTTTGTGTATGGTTTTCCCTAAGTCAGGAAATGTTGGTGATCACAGAGGAGAGGTAAGTGTACTTGGTTAGTGGGGAGTTATTGCTCTTAGTAGACACTCTTAGCAAGAGAAAACCTGGCTTCTCTCTGTCTCCATCTCCAGATCCCCAGCCCATTTTTTCCTAGATCTATCCAGTTGTAAACACTAATTAAAATTTACATAAAATTCTCTTTCATAGTCATGACCATCAAACTGAAACCTGGAGGAAAGCTATGCTTCTCCGAGTGCATCTTGTTTCCAGGGTTGAAAACCTCTATATCCCATTGTCCAGATATTTTTGAACTCTTGTCTGGCATTATAATATGATTTTCTATAAATTAGAAAATGACTAGTGTTCAAATTGGATAAGGTAAAATAAAAAGAACATTAACCGAAGGGCAGGCACTGTTGGTGAAGAATATCACTCTTTCTCCAAGAAGCCACTGGTTTCATAAAATGATGACAATTAGAGTAGGGTGAAATCCTGAAATAGTAATCTCTTTCACTCTCATGCCTAGTTTCCATAGCAGGGCTACTTGGAAAGTAGAATGGTGGCTATAATAGTATGGAAAGCATCTTCCATAGCTTGGCCCCCATACTTGTATTTGGTGAAACCTGTGGGGTAGGGGACAATTTTGTGTTTAAGATGTCAAGAGCTTCCATGGAGAAAGAATAACTGGAGGTGTCTCACTTTCCCAAAGCAGAGGCCTATTCAATTGAACCTGGAGCCAACTGACTTAGAAGAGAGCGACTTGGCAAGCGTAATTTGCCAGCTGGTTGAGTCAGACAACACATTGAGAAAGATCTTTTATGGAAGCATGTCCTCCCTTAACCCTTTTCCAAACATGGTGGAAACTATCTACCTTGTCCTATTTACCTGGACCCTCTCTTATTGTTACGGCTGTGCTGCTACTCCATCTAGAAGATCTGCAGTTATGTCCGAGGCAGAACTTGGAAAACAAAAGCCATTAAATAACATGTGCTACTCTTTTTAGGAGTCATAGTAAAGATGCTCCAAGGATTTGGCAAGGACATCTGGCCCCCTGAGCCTCCAACCCGCACAGCCAAGACTTTTTCTTTAGTTTTTACTGATGTTAGCCTGAGAGATAAAAAGAGAAGAAATGTGCTGACATCCTAAACCCACCAATGCTTAGTTTATAAAACATACATATGACACATGCCCTAATACAGGCTCTGGCTCTATTCTCTTCAACAATTTTTCCCCCCTGACTAAATGTTCCAATTGCATAAAGCATATATTCCCTTGAAGCTGAGTACAAGAAACCTCAGCAATAAGCCAGCATCCAAGAGGATATAAATATAAAGTGGCTGTATCAGCAAGGAATGCTCAGGGGATGTGTTTGCAGCCCATTTCACGGTGCTACTCAAGAGGGGATATTGGAAATGAGTGACTTTCTTTCATTCCGTAAGGTTTCTTTATCTCAGCACCTACTTTTGCGGATGGTATGTTTTTGAGGCTGCACAGTAGGACTCTGGGTACCGTATGTATTCATACATATGGAGGAATAATGTTTATATTTCTCAGAATAGGCACTTTTTGAAGGCAGTAAAATCTAAAAGTAAAGTTAATAGAGCCTATATTTAGGGCTCATCTTCTCACTTTGCTGATGTGTGTGCTGAACAGAAGATCACAGATTTGAGTCAGTCTCGCAGAGGCCGGAGTCGGCAAATGGCTATATTCAGAGTTAGGGAAGTCTTGCCAACTCCACTGTAGCTGTGAAAAGGCAGACTTGGAGAAGGTGCAATCGTTTTTCTCAAAGGTGACAGCACAGAAGGAGAAAAGCCTGTGACAAAGCCATGAAAGAAAATGTGTGTGCGGCTCAGGGAAAATGTCCTTGGATCTGCATCTTCATGTCACGATGTCACGTCTGCTTCATGGCACAGCATTGCCACTTAGAAAGTTTTTCCCTCCCTTATTTGGATGCGTCTCATAATTTTACAGAGAGAGAGAGAGAGAGAGAGAGAGAGAGAGAGAGAGAGAGAGAGAGAGAGAGAGAGAACCCAAATCTATGAAACTAATGAAAAGGTGAAGTTGCAAAAGCAAAACCAAACAAAAAGTCGAAGTAAACAATTGCATTGAAGTAATGGTAAAAGCTCCGTGCTATAGTCAGCTGTGAACGTTTTGTATCTAAGTTTAAACTTTCACTTCAGGCACATCAAATCACATGATAATCTTATTTATGCTAAAGAATCAGACAATCTAGCATCATCTTTAATTCTTTTTGCTTTTTTATCTGTTTCCTGAAAAATAATGTGATCATAATTTTAGATTTTCAGGGGAAAATATTCTGACTTTGTTTAATAAGGAAATAATTTTTGGATAATTTGCTCATCAGCTTTCCCAGAAGAATAAATGGGTAGAATAAGAAAGTAGTTTAAAAATTATTTTGCAATTACTTCATTATAAACTATTGGTGACAAGATGTAGTTTCAAAATATCTCTCATCAAGGATATACATCACTTGAATTAGAGGCTGGCACTGTCTATACCAGTTTCAATTTGCTACCTTGTGAGGAAGGTGGAAGGCATTTTAACTCTTTTTTTATTTCTTTCAATTTCCCACATATGTTGATATACATGATATTTATTTAAAAACTAATCAAAGGATATACATAATTAGTAAAATGTAGATACTGCCCACATATCAATTCACCTTTTTCTACTAGAGTTAAAATTTGAGTTCATTCCTATTGTTGGTATTTAAATTGTAAAAATCCCTTTTCCTCTCAAAGTTTATGTACAAATGAGTGAAGTACATTGGCAAATTCATCCTAACCTGTCTAGGCTATTCTTCTAATTCTGGTTTATTATTATTACTAAGTGATCATCAACTGTCACCCAGAGAGTAAAAGAAATAGGAGGAAACTGGATTTCTGCTCCCCTCATCTTTATACATAAGTCCCCAAGGGGGGAAAAAGAAAGGAGAAAGGTATCTAAGAAAAACTAGATCTCCTTGTTTCACATTTTCTGAACTAGTTCAGCAACAGAGTTAAATAATTTGGTGGGGAAAGACATTTAGGCTTAATATTTACTCTCTCTTGACAGGGGAGATGGAGTCAGGAAAGCAACTATTAATTCTATGCCTCAGTGCAAAGCAAAGCAGACACTGTACAAAGTAGCAAAGCAGTAATGACCCAGGAATAGTTCCTTACCCTTTCCCAACAGATAAAAATATAAAAAGCGAATCAAGCAAGAAATACCTTAGTTTTCACCCCCATCTCAAATTGCTTTGCAATATTTTAAGAGACAATTGGATCCATACAAAATTTAAATAAATTTTCCTTTTTCTTATTCGCAGCCACACACACACACACACACACACACACACACACACACACAAAGTGGGTCAGGTCTGGGAAGTATTAATTTTCTGGCCTAAAAACCCAAGTGTTTGAAAATAAGATTTCTATTTTGAAGGATCAGCTTTCTTGGAAGATGTTTGTGTGTGCATGAGTGTATTTGTATGTGTGTGTGCGTGTGTGTTTATGCACGAGCAAGGGTGTATGTTTTAAAGAGAACACAATTGTATTTTCATTAAATACAGGGGACTATAATGAGTAGAATGGAGGAAGAACATTTTTATTAGTAATTTTCTTTACACTATAGAAAGATAAATCAGAGGCTATGTCTCCTTTTATATTTTTAAAAGGGCTTCTTTTTCATATTCACTGCCTCACTGTCCTGGTATGTCCTCTGAAAAGACGTCACAGGTTCTACCCAAGAGAGTCTCTTCTGCAAAGTTCTAGATAATTCTGCAAAATTCTCAAAATGCTTTTTCTATTAATCCAGCCCTGGGTGGGGGTGCTCTGTCTATCTATAAGTATTATTTTTCAACCCATTAGGCACCTTCCCAAAATCTAAATGTTGCCATCTCAGCCCATCTCTGCTGGCCACGCTGGCCTCAATTGTAGTTCCCAGGTGTGAAGAGTAGAAAGAGATAAGAGGTCATTTGTTATTTAACTTGGCTTCATTAATACCTAGGAATAAGCAGACAGATAATGATGCCTACGTGAACGATTGCAGACTCAAGGGAGGGAAAATGTCTGGAAAACTTATTAGATAAGATCATTTTAAAGGTTTCCTGTAGTAGATTCAACTCAGATGAAAAAGAGTATCTTTCTATTAGTGTCACAGATTTTAACCGAAAGCCAAACAACTCTAAGAGAGAAATGGGATAAAATAAAAACCCAAGAGCAGACATCAAAAGGCACAGCTTCCTAAGGGATGCAGATCAAGAGGAAGGATGGCCAGTTGTTGAACTGCCATGTAGGGCAGACTCTAGAATAACACAGAGGCTTCTCAGTGAGTATCCTGGAAACACAGTACCAAAACTCTACGGCAGCATGCACAAGTCACAAAATGACAAAAGTCCTTGAAGTCCGGTCTATGCACGGCTAAGGCCACATCTCAGGATCACAATCAGTCCATTGGATTTGTTCACAGACGTTTGAAGGTCATGGGTTGCTTGTTTGGTTTGGAAATGCTCAATTCCTTAATAAATGTGAACTGAGAGAGAATGATACGCATTGTTTACCTACAGCAGTTTTTCCCTCTGTGGGGCATACATCATAACCCACAGGGGAAACACTTGTCTTAAGGGTCAAGTCACCTGTGCACTTTCCTGAATTCTCAACTATAGGAACTCAGCTGATGTTCTGAACCTCACAGTCCCCGAGAGCTTTTCAGTTAATGTAAAGTAAACTAACTATCTCCGGGGAAATTTGTGCAGTGTGCTTCCCTGTCACAGTTGTTTGTTCTTCACAGTGGCCTTTGTTCACTGTCAGCATCACATTGCTGATCAGGCAGAATACTTAGTCATTTCCCACAAGATGACACAATATGCACTCAGGCACTAAGTGGTCTCTTACAGTGCACACATAGATTTGCCACCTGGGAGCTAAATGGTGTATGTGAACTTTCTTGGATGCCCTAGGACTGGGAGTACTTCAGTCTGTGAGAAGCATACCTTGTGCCCTAGCACTTTGTGCCTTGAGAGGGGCCACTGAAGAAAACACCAGACTTGCAAGCCCAGAGTTTGTCCCCAAATTTGCCACTTACCAGCTGCATCGCTCTTGGCAAGTCACTGAACAATTCTGAGCCTCAGCTTTCTCTTCTAGGATATGGCTATTAATAACCTTCCTCCCAGGGCTGTTTTATGTGCGAAAGAAGTTTGTAAGCTCTCTTAGGAATTATTATTTTAAACCTCAGAAAGCCACCCCCAGGTCCTGCCCAGGAGACTGATGACAGGTTCTGCCGACAGGGCACTCTAATTCAAAACTGGGCTGGAAGGAGCTGCAAGCCTTGTCCTCCCATCGGCCAAGAAATGTTATTGAAACTAAATAGAAACCCAGGGCAATAATAAAGAATTTATACCTCTCTACATAAAACCATAACAGAATAATCATTCTTTTGCACAGGACTGGTTGGAAAAAATGAGGTTTTCCAGAACCACTGTTTTTTGTTTTTGTCTGGAACACTGGAACACAGAATGGAAGTGAATCTCAAAACAAATCAGCATATGTTGAACCTATAAAGTATCCAGGAGTTTTTTGCATATTCAGTATGGAAACACCTTATTTTTGAGAAGACAGGAAAAAAAAGAAAGGGTTGAAGAGACTTAGTATTTCCCATGTACCTTGGTTCTTGTTTTCAGAATGGCTTTGGTTTTGTCAACTTCAAAACTAATACAATATATGAAGTTTGTATGCATGGGAGCTCTATCTTATCTAGCATTCTTTCTCTTGGATTTGAGACCGTGGAGGAAATGTCTACACTAAGAATCAGTTTTATTTCAGTGATTCAAATTCCATTTACTTTCAACCCTGAAGAAAGTATTTCACCTAGCTTGAAGCAAACTGATTGCTATGTTTCACTGGGTATGTTAAAAGAAAATAGGAAATATTGTATATTTTGGTCCAATTGTTCAAAGGAAAAGCAGAAAGGTAATTGGCCTTGACATCATGTCAATAAATGAGGGGAAATTGTAAGTGATTGATATCTGACCTACAGGCAAAGATTTAGATACTAGACTTGTTTTGCATAGCCCCAGAGCTATATTTTTTTCAACATAAGGGAGAACTTTTGTAGAAAACAGTGGCTCTAAAGGTAGAATGGACTGCAGTGGGGAATACTATGGTCTAAGAAGATGTTGGATATGACATATATGGTGGGGGGGGGGAGAGAAAGAGGAAATTTAAATTTAAAGAGTCATAATCCCAAGGGTCATGCTGGTCTTAAGGGTTTAGGAACAACACTGGCATTTGGGGTCACCTATATAGCCCTCTGCCCTGGTGTAATCCAAGATGGCATAGTGATGCCAGTCTCATTTTTGGTAGATCATTCTATTCCTTGGGTTGAGAATTGAATTAGAAGCTATGTTTTGTGCCAAGCTGATTGAAAGCATTTGTGGATGCTAAATAAGGCCTCCATTCAAGATATTAGATAATGCCTATTAGGTAAAATGAAGTTGTCTCTTGCCCCCAGGTGGATGGGAGCCTTGGAAAAGTTAACAAAGACATACAGTAAGGGAATCTAATGCAAGTATCTTACAGTTTTACAGAGGAATTAGTTTCCACCTCTCTAGTGTACCTTTTCACTTGTATAATATGAATTTTTATTTATAACAAAGAATGGAAATAGATATATTTATTATTATGGTTAGAGAATGCTGTACATTAAACAATCAGAAACAAAGAGAAAAGATTTTAGTAATTTCTTGTAACTTCCAGGGTTGTGTGTATCACTGAGTCTAGTAAAAAATGCATTTTCTACACAGCCTTCCCCAAAATAAGCTACTTGCATGTTGGATAATTACAATCACGTCACACATTTTTTTGGCACAAGAGCCAGGAAAGTATAATAGAGAAAGGAATAAGTGTCCTTCCTTTCTCTGTTGAAGGGAAATATGCTATTTTATATTTAGTATTCTGTGTTTGTAACTAAAAAGAAAACAAGAAAGAATCAATTATAGTATAGTTGTTAGGCAAGACATTACAGAAAGTAGATGATAAGATATAAACAAGAGAACCACAGAAAAACTCCTACTTACTGTGCTCACTAGGTAAGTACATTGGAAAGGGATAAAACATTGTGTAAATACAGAAACTCTACCTGCAGAGATGCTCAGCATGTAGTGCAACTTGCCAAAGAATATATCAGCATATGCATCACCAGCTCTCAGAAAGAGGCGAGCCATGCCCTCCTTTCAGAGGGGATGAGAGGTCATGCAGTATAACAATTCTGGTGTAGTGATTGCCATGCCATGGGATCTATTGGATAGCAGTAGCTCTCATTTTACTCTCTTCTGACAGGGAAAAACATATATTAGTAACCATTGTGATTTTTAAAAATCTCATTAACTTGGAAATATACCTTTAGGGAGGTATGTTACCTTCTTAAACAACTGTGATTGCTGATCCCTAAAAAAAAAAGTTATAAAAATCTTCAGAATTACACTATATAAGAACTGTGCTGCCATAGTTTTAATTGTACACTACCTCTGCTCTCAAATCACTCCTCCTCCTGAATCTTACTCTTGGAAATAGGTTAAACAAAACCAAAACCAAAACAACAACAAAATTTTTTTTCTAGCAACACATATTCACTGGGACTTCTCATTATTTCTTGGCAATTTCATTTATATATTGAATTAAGTATTATGTTTTACTTTCCTCATAGGTGACCCTCCCCAAAAGGAAAGTCATTGCCAACCTTGTGAAAACATGTAGAAAATTATGTGAGGATAGAAACAAAAACTGGAAACATAGTCCTAGAATTTTAAGCTTTTTCCCCACACACAAACAAAAGGATAAAAGGGCATACTTTTATCAGAATTAGCTAGTGTTCAAAGAATCTCAGACCTAAATTTTAACAAAATACTTCAATATGAGACCCAGACTTGTTCTCAGGTTGCTTTTATAAATAGACAAAGGCCAGTAATATGAGTCATAAGAACAACCCTGGTGCTGACTTACCCTAAGTAAAATACTATGATTCAACTATTAAAATTAAATATCATTGTCACGGGCAAAATGCTGATATGTGTAAAATTTCCTCAAGGATAATAGTTTTTTCTTGTCTTAAGAAAAATCATCAAGTTTTAGTGGAATAAAGTAACATGCCACCACTATAAATATCATTGCTATGTTGGTCAACAATGCTTTGGATTAAAACAAAAGAATCTTAACCTAGTCATAGAAAGTACTTTGCATTTACCTGATAAAAGAAGGTCAGTCATAAATAAATTTACAAAGAATGCTAATCCGAGTCCTTGATGAAAGCTCATTAAAATAAAAACCAAAGACTATTATCTCATTTTACAAATAAACACAATCTGGAAAATATGCCCTTTTAAAGAAAGAGTTTATGGATGCCACATATATTTTGTGGTAGCCTTCTTCTCTTATTATGTTCATAATATCATAGGATTATAATGCATTGATTTATTTATGAACATCTAGGCAGGGTAGAGAGGAAAGAAGGTAAGAGAAGAAGAAAAAAGGAGAAAAAAAGAAGGAACAATTATCACTACGTTGCACAGTTTTAATCAGATCATCTTTTAAAGGTTTGAAATTATTTGCTATCCAAGCAACAGCCTCATGAGAACATTTTCATTATAGTTATCTGTGAAGTAAATAACCTGAAATGTTCATAGTTGCACTGTAATGACTCAAAACAGGGATTCTCAACTTGTGCTGTTCAGTATTAAATTTAAAACACGCAAACAAGCAAAAAATTATGACAACTTAAAAAAGCAGATATGCTGAATGGCTGTTAAAGGTCCAAGGTGAAGTCTTGTCTTCATTATCTGACTAAAACCAGAGTAAGACCAAACATAATCACTAACAACATCCAATACATCACCTTGTGGCCATTAAGAATGTTTCCCCAATTTAGGAATCAATCCATAAGGTACTTCCAAGACATAAAAGAGAAAAGAAATACTATTAACATGGTTTAAGATGAAGACTTCAGACCTCTCTGGATTTTGTTGGACATTTTTGATGAAGATACCTATGAGATTTAGGGATTAATATTTATGTTATGGATGCTTCAGTGGAGCATTCCTAGTGCTGTAAACATTCTTTAAAATTAAGGCACACATAGATGCTGTTCTCTGATTGTCTCCCACAAAAGTGCACCAAAAGAGCAATCTCAGGAAAGGAACTCGAGGAACATTTCACAGAGGTATATCTTTTTCAGTCTACTGGTTTTCTACAGATGGCTAAAGCAGGGTAGGGAACATGCTGTCATATTTCATAACACACATGTACTGTAGCTCGAGGCAACAGATGGACAATCGCTTGTTTAAACTACAAATGTGAAGTACTAAGGTAGTATAGCAATATTTCTAGAAATGTATATGGAAAAAAAGCCTTTCTAAGCCAAGAGGACTGGCGAGAGGCTGTGAGGTTACACCAGTGTTTCCCTGATCTCCCTAGCAGCTGCCAGCATTTCCCCAACACCCTTCAGAACTTGATAACAGAGGGATTAGAGGGCCGCAGACACAGATTTGACAAGAGAAGCCCAAACCATATCAAATAGAAATAACACTGTTATCCCTGGCTGGTTCACATTAACAGGATTTTTACTAATGAGGAAAACTGTTGGAAAGTTGTTTTCAGAGTCCTTGCTATGTTCTAGAAAACCCTCTACGACAGCCCCATGGTAGAAGTGCTCTCTTTCTTCCTTTGGACCAAGATAAAAATATTTGTTTAAATATAGTTAGAGTTCTATATACTTTAAGCATCTCTGAAGGCTCTTTCATAGTGAGAACATAGTTACAAGGGTTGATAACTCCACTGCATTAATCAGCATATCCACAATACAGTAATTTTGATCAGGGAAGTTGCTCCAACAGAAACAATTTGTGAATGAGAAGAAGAAAAAGAACCCACATCTTTGAGCTGCAGAGATTTCCAGCATCTCAAAGCCTTGTTTCCTTATACTGGAACAATGACTTATTTTTACATTTTAAAGGCAATTTTGTTTCCACATAGGACTTCCACATTGAGTCAGCAGGAGCTGGGAATCTAGGCAATGAAGAAATCTGGTTTTGAAAGGATCTGCACAGCCCATGACAAGAGTGGGTTTTTTTTTTTTTTTTTTTTTTCCCATCTCCCATGTCTGTCATGTTACACAGAATTACCAAATATTTGTGTTCTTGACAATTTTTTAAAACCAGTATATTTTTTTTTTACCAACTTTCTCTTATCGACTCCATGATCTTTTCTATTATTTTGAATTGAAATGTCAACAATTAAGACAATATATCAAAAGACAATAAAACTGTCATCATTAAGGTAATATTATCTTTAAATCTCTGTGATAGGCATCATTTCATGTAACTAAAACAGTAAGGAGTGATTTGGCATTGTTTAAACCAAAAGATTAATAAGAAAGTTAAAAAAGCAATATAAATCATATATTTAAGAAATCCTGGAATAAATATTGTAGGATCCTTTCCTTATTATACCTTGTGAAGAAAAAAGAAATCTAAATCTAAATATTTCTGCTTAAGTATGTGTGCACATTCATTATTATATAAAAGTATAATAAGTCTATATTAAAAAAGATTTACTTTTTAAAAATCTTTGGTAAAGATACTCTGAGGTTACGTGATAAAAAACGCACTATAAAGATTGTAAGCAAGCAGTATCCTGGCACAGCCACAGTGATGGATCTGTGACAGTTATTTTCTTATAACTTTTTTTTCTTTGTTACTTGTAAACATTCAGTTACATAAGGACTTCAATGTAACAAACAAGTAGAATGTTATTGCAATTCATAGTATAAATATTTCATAAATTCTTCCTTTTTTTGGCAAAATGTATAATAATATGACTGCTATTCAAGAGATAAAATCCATTTCTTAATAAACTGGGCTCTTTGCGTTGGGCCTAAAGACAGTTTTACCCAAGCATATCATAGAAAACAAAGTTACTGAAGCAATTCAAACAGATTATATTATCACCCGATTATCTAACAGCAGCATGGTCTGGGCTTTCATTTGGAAGACAGAAATTCAGAGATACAATCTCTATTGTCTCCATGCTGCTCAAAGTGAATCCCATTGTAGTTCACATCATGAGAAGTTTAAGATCAAAGATAAGAGCAGTAAGGTAAGGAGAGGGCAGTGGTCAAAAACAACTTTAAAAAGCTACAATGTTGGAGGTTCTAAAACAAAACTGTTTGGTGACCAAAGCAAATGAGCCACAAATCAACTTAGATGAGCTACAGACAGTAACCACACGCTTAAGAATTCCTTATTGGGGACACACACACACACACACACACACACACACACACACACACGGACATTTTTATGGTTGTTCTTACAAAAGTAAAATATATTTAATTGGAATTCCTGAGGCATGGGTTGTGATTTAAAACATGCAGAAATATGTGTGTGTGTGTGTGTTTCATTTCTTTTCTACGTGTTAAAAAAAAATCAGACTGAAAAACTGGCTCTATCACTTTAAAATCATGAAAAATCTATTTGTGGAATCAGGGAAGGGTACACAGGGGAATGTAACTATATTTGGTATATTTGATTTCTTAAACTAGGTGTTACATATACAGGGACTCATTATATTATTATTTATACTTTTGTGTATATTTAAAATATTTCATAATTTAAAAGTATATACTTGTGGAAGATTTGAAGAAAGGTTTAAGAAATCTCAATCCAAAATACGTAATCAGTTAAAAGAGAGCAACTTGCCGTGATTAAGATCGGTGTCTCCATAAATGAAACAAGTTAGAACCTAATGAAGTATGGTTCCACAGTCGGCAAGCAAGCATTTCCCTGCCTGGCAGAGTTTGAATAACGATTCCAGGAAGAGACTTTGCATATTTTTAGCTCAGAAAGGCAACTATGTTTTTTGGTGATTGTCTCTGAAAATGTGGTGAAATGTCACATCAATGATATGAAAATGTCTCCTATGATATGTAATTTCAGTTGCAGAAGGATTAAAAGAATAATGAAACTGTGGTTTCACTCTTCAAGTGTTCCTGTTTTTTTTTTTTTGTTTGTTTGTTTTAAAGCAAACTAGACAAAACTACACAATTTTATTTTGTGTGCCCTGATTAGCAAAAAGAGCAGGGGAGGGAGGGGGGATTACAGCTATTTAAAGCTATCTTTCACTAAAGAAAAAAAGAAATAATTTTGGTAGTCATGTTTGAATATTAGAAAAAAAAATCAAAATTTCTGATATGAAAAGTAGGACAGTACAGAAAATAGTATATTCTAGAGACAAAAGCGGTTGTCTATAAAGTGTCTAAGCAGCATGAAAAAGGAGAATCTTCAGATGATATTGTGGGATAATAATTGGCTTTCCAAACTTAACCCTAAATGTGGTTTTTCCCCCCAGCACATTCCACATGTAATTTCTTTAGAAAAACATTGAAGTTTGGACCTCTTTCACTAATACCTGTTATCGATTATTATGAGCCCTGACAACTGGTAGCTATAGATTTTGATTTGAATTGTTACAAATTTGGGCTTGTTTTAACTTATCTAATTTACAACTTAAATTCTTTATACCCTAACATACAAGTTGTGCATTTCCCTCCTCCCCTGCCAAGGGACATGACCCGTTTAGAGTAACAGAAAGATGTGCTTTTTGATACACAAAGAGAACAACTATCCTTTATGATCAGAGGCAATGTGGACATGATAGCATGGAGAGACTTCAAGCCTAAAAGCACCTGTGAGTGGGCAGACTCACCCAGGAAAATCTGTGTGACAGCAAATACCACACTAAAAAAAGCCATTCAACCAGAAGAAAAGTGAGACAAACAGAGGGATTAAAGGGTACAGGAATGCGGAAGTGAATGGGATGGAGCATAATCTGTGCAAAAATGTGGAAGTCCTTGGGAACAAAAGCCCATCAAGATCCTACATAACTAAATGTGAAATGTGTAGTTGGTAAGAAATTTTTTAAAAAATCATATAATCTATGTGTTTCTACAGAAAGTTTCCTACTACATGAAGAACAGAAACCATCCTATAGCTTGAATGCCTTTCTTCTATTTTCCTATTGCTTTTCTTAGTATTCTTCTTATTATTTCTTTCAGTGTTTCATTCTTCTCAGTACCACCAACTAACCAGCTGAACAGGACACTGAACTTAAAGGTCGGTGCTAGCCTTGGCGGTCAGCACTCTGATGCGGGCAGAGTTGCAGGTCTTGCAGAGGATGTGTCCATCCAAAGGGTAGCAGCCTTGGTTATCTCCTTCAGACAGGAGACCACCGCAATCCTAGGGAAATAAATACAGATGGAATGATGCATGTGAACATGAAAACGACATGTGTGAAGATCAGTTCTTTAGCTTTCTATTCAAGGACTCTTTTCTTTCCACTTCACATACCACCAGGCCCGTCCAATTTATCCCCAGTGTATACCACATATGTCTTAAATAAAATTTAAGAATTAGATATTAAATATATATATAGTAAAATAACTGTCCTAAGGTCAGTTATTTTCTATTAGTTTAATAGAAAATACAGGTTCAGGAAGAGAAGGGTCCAAACTTATGGGATCTCAAATGCTAGCTTTGTTCCCTAACCCAAATGACAATAGCAAGAACAAGAGAAAATAAAACAGATCCCTAACCACTTATTCATTGTTTCCCTTTATCAACAGTGAGAGATAAGGAAATGTTTTAAAATAATTTTCTGAACATGCTGTCCTTTGGAGACCTGGATTCTAGGGGAAAGCTTTGTTCCTCTTTGCGTATAAATGACTACATGTCCCTTGGGCAGGAAGCCTTCCTTGTCACTTCCAGCCTGGATCACAGCTGCTATGAATATATATTTCCATGGCAGTCACCTGACCTGTGTTGTGAAGTGCTCAGTCAGTGACTAACTTAATGAGTCTCCATGACTTTGAACATGAAGTTCCAAACCCTCTTAAAGGAATAAATCCTTTTCCTCCCCCAATGGGGGACAATGGTGTGTCTGCTTCACAGGAATATCAGAGCCCAAGTGAAAAATCCAGTATAGTAACAAAACAGCAATAACTTTTCCTACCCGCTTAGCACTTTGTGATTGACAGTGTCCTTGAATATGCAACTTTGCATTTTATTCACACAGCCATGTTTGGGAAAGGTAAGAATGAGTCTTTCTAATAGGTTTGGAAATAGAGAAGGAGAGAGGTAAAGTGACTTATCCAACATCACTAGCATTAAGATCTAAAACCCAAGTCCTTTGAAGATATGCATTTCTCAGATTGAATAATTGCCATGTTTATGAAAACCTGGCTCTACTGGGCCTTTCAATGCCTGTCTTACAAGATTTGAGGGTGCAGACCACAGACCTCACACCGGTAGCAGTGAACATGGAAATCACGATCCAGAGCCACAATTCGGACAGTCTCCTCCTGGCCAGGGGCTGGCATAATAGGCTCCTTGCACACAGAACATCGGGGGGCAAATTTCCTGAAAACAAAGAGATAATCCTGGTTAGGTACTGAGCATAGACAATGACAAAGAGGTAAAACACAAAGATTAAAATAAAAGAATAAGGGAGAGAGATCAACCAATGGACTTGTGTGCATGCATATAAGCCTAATCAGTTGTCACAGACAAGAGGGGGATAAGGGCATGCGTGGGAAGGGGTTTGAAATGGGAATGGGGGGGGGGAATGAGAAGAAATAAAAATAAATAAATTTAAAATAAAAGAACAAAAGATATAAATTGAGAGGACATCTGATCTATAATACCATTCTGTGACCTTAAGCAAGTCATTTTCCTTCTCTGGGTCTGCTTCCTCAACTCTAAAATAAAGGAATTAGATTCACTGACTGTTAAGGTCCTTGTAGATCATAAATTATGATATTGAGTGATGTGGGGGAGTGAAAGTGTGAATTGCTTTTGCATGAGAGCACCTGGGAGCTACTGGTCATGTGGTATGTGGCTTGGAATTCACCTGTGATTCCAGAAACACACCCTAGGCTTAGGCAAGATCACCTGAGGGGAAAACATAAGTCCTGAAGGTCCCTACTTGTCTCTGCTATTTGCTTGCATGTGTTCTCCAGACCTGAATGAACTGTTTGGGGCTTGATAACTTTGCCTCCTTCCCAGTTATCAGAGCTTCTTTCTTTGAAATGTGTCTTGAATCCTAATTAAACTTCAAATGACTATTTTTCAAAATAGCAGAGGTTAGTGAATTTAAATACCTTTTATACCAAACTATGGCCAAGTCTTCATTTCTTACATTTTGCTTATGTTAAACTTTTGTTTGAAAAACAAGAAAATTATTGAGAGGAATCAGTCCTCTATTCTTAGCCTCTAGGTTGTTCTGAGATGGTAATCTTCAGATGTCCAGTGATCTGCACAATGAAACAATTTCTTTTCAAAGTCACTTAGATAGTCAACTAGAAGTTATGATGTATGGCCAGGCATTGGTGCACAATGACCTGTTGTGTGTCCAGGTATTAATGCAGGACTGAAAAGTTCAAAAGTTTAAGTTTCTAGAATCAGCTAAAAAAAAGAATAGAATTGCCCTAGCTGGTTTGGCCCAGTGGATAGAGCTTCAGCCTGTGGATTGAAAGGTCCTGGGTTTGATTCTCATCAAGGGCACATCTTGGGTTTCTGGCTTGGTCTCCAGTATTTGTGTGTGTGTTTGTGTGTCTCAGGGTGGGAGTAAGGATGGGGGGAGGGGTCATGCAGAAGGTGGGTGGTCAGTGATTCTCTCTTATCATTGAAGTTTCTATCTCTCTCCCTCTCCCTTTCTCTCTGAAATCAATAAAATTAAATAAAAAACAACAAGAAAGTTAAATATTTGTTGTTTTTTTCTATAAAGGATTCTAGCACTTCTGAAGGGTAATTGTACATGAACACAGATGCACTTATACCTACATACACATATACATACAATTTTGAGGTTAACTGTTGGTGAGGAATTTTATATTTCTTAACTTCTTAATATTCCTTACTATGAATAATAGCCCTAAGATTTTTTTCTCATAACAGATTAATAAAAGGCAAATATTGGCCATATATTTATCTGTATCTGGCATTTAGGGGTGGCATTTGTGAAGGCATGAAATGAGACATGCTTTGAAATAGGCATGGATAAGAAGTGAAAAGATAAAATAAGAAAAACACTGTGCAACTTCATTTACTTGTGGTAATGGTTTTAACATTGATGATGTTAAAATTTATTTGTAGTGACACTTAAAAAGAAATGATGATAGTAATCTATACTTTGCAGAGCATTTTATGGTTGTCAAAGCATATTTAGGTATATTATACTTTATATGTACATACTAATTTTCCTGGCAGCACCCATAAGGCAATCGGTATGGCTGCAATCTAAAGACATATAAATTAAGCTGTAGATAAATTTATTGCTATGAAAGAATAAATAAAAGGACTATGGTACAACCGCAGCAGTAATCTGAGTTGTTTAATTTGTATTTTATACAAGAAGTTTATACTCAGTGGTAAAAAAGAAAAAATTGCTTTGGACTATCTGGTTGTTTTCGAATTTGGGTCACCAGAAGTAAAATGAATCAACTGCAAAATTTCATTTCCCCAAACCCATGTGACTGTAAATTCTATAAGACCAGAAATATGTCTTGCCCATCACTATATCCAGGAGTTTTACCCAATTTACCCTAGTGGGGTTACTTACTCCTCTAGGATATTTCATTGCATATACTTATTATAGTAGGAATCATTTGCATCTCTTTGGAGACCACTGAATTGTGACCTTCCATAAGACAGGTTGTCTGAGTCCCCAAGAGGGGTGCAGAGGGCAGAAATTCAGTCTATATCCAATGAAATAAAGCAGCTGCATTATTTCTCCATAAAAAATATGTTATATGGGCCTTTATGTTCAATCTCAAGGTCCTTCCTTTTTGGAAAAGCATAAACTATATTCTTGCTGAGTAATGATTTCTTCCTACCAATTGGCCTCATTTCCCATGAAGAGAAGTAAAGTCAAGAGTCAGGAAGTGGTTTCTGTAGGCCCCACAGTGTTCGTTGGTCAGTGTTTTAAGAACTGTCCTAAATCCCAGGTGGTCTATTTCAAGGTTCAGCTCACCGAGCAGACAATAATAATAAAAAATATAAATTTTATAGCACTTTTGATGGTTAAAATAGCTACCATTTATTGAGTGCTTATTATGTGCCAAGCCCTGTTAAGCACTTGACTTTGTTTTCTACTGACAGCAATGTTATAAGGAGCTACTTTTATCATTTTGACGTTACAGCCTCGGGAGCCAAGGCCCAGGGAGGGATGGTCTTAATCGTCTTGTGTCCTGGTACATTTCTGGCAATCCACAAACGGGTGCTGACGAAACAAACAAATGTGCTAAGTGTAATATGCACGATAAGAAAGCACAGATTGTGGAATAAAGGCTCAATATAATGAAGGGTCAGTTAAAGAAGCCTACTTTTCTGGGCTCACTGTGCTGGCATTGAAAATACAGGGATAAACTAGGGCTGAAGAAAACAGATTGTGAGGGAGCCCTATCTATTTCTGCACTTGTTCTATTAATTTATATATGCATATCATATAATAGTGAAACAATCATTTACGGTGGGTATTGTAAAAGTTTATGGATGTATATGTGCATGCCTGTCTATTTTTTTTTAATCACTAATCAGACTATGTTGAGTGTTATCTATAGCTAGAACAGGATGCAAAGTGAAACATGGAGATGGGGAGGGATTGAGATCAGAGAAAGCTTCTTAGGGAAATGGCAATTAAGTTGTGCCATGAAAGATGGCCATTTAGGTGAAATGAGAAAGTGTGTGTGTGTTAGGGTTGAGGTCTCCCTGGAATTGCATTTGTGCAGTTCTCTAAAATGACATATGGGAAAGAGTTTCTACCTAATAGGCTGGAGGACTTGAGCCAAACCTGACTGCAGGTGGTTATGTAGGGGATGTCCCCATTAACAAGGCCTAGAAAATAGTATTTCACAAGCTTGATACTCAAAGTGCAATCCAAGACCACCTGGATGCTTGTCAGAAATGCAGACCCTTAGGGCCCACCCCCAACCTACTCAATTAGAGCCTGCAGCTAATAAGGTCCCCAAATACCTGGATGTTTGGAAACACTGGTTTATAAGAGAAATCCTTTCTCATGGGCTTCCTCTATCTCAAGGTAACCCCCTCTCCACTCCACTTTAGTTACAGCCACACAAGTATTCTTTGAATGTAGAGAAGCCTTTCCTAACTCCATACCCTCATTTATTGCCTGGGTTGACCAAGAACAAGCCCCAAAAAATTATTTGCAGAAGTCTACACTCCCCTAAAACTACCTTCTACTTAACCTTGCCACCTTCCCCCCTCCCTGCCCCTCCAGGTTTGATTTTTTTTTGTATGATTTTATTGATTTTAAACAGAGAGGAAGGGAGGATATATAATATATATATATATGAGAGAGAGAAACATGGATCAGCTTCCTCCTGCACGCCCCTACTGGAGGTTGAGCCCACAACCCAGATATGTGTGTTCCCTTTAGGAATGGAACCAGTGACCTCTTGGTGCCTAAGTCAACACTCAGATACTGAGCCACACAGGCTGGATGGGATTGGAGTTGTTAGCTGTCTTTTGTTCTAGTATTTTCAAGGCTCCGAAACAGAGTTCTGTAAAATGTTCTCATATTTTTCTTTGAGAAATAGGCAAAAGATAAAAAAAAAAAAGAGCCCCCTCCCCACCAATCCTTGCTAATCATACAGACAACAGATTTTTTTTTTTTTAAATGTATTTTAACATACCACTGAATTAGTGGTGGTGGTGGGGAGACAGTTGGGGGTTTGAGATTTTTTTTTCACTTTAGTTGCTCAAGTCTGCTTTTCTGGGGCATGCAGACTCACACACTTATGTCACCAGTTGCAAGTCTCTAATTATGCTCCCCACTTCCCGAAATGAACGATAAATGCATAGATACAGACTTCCATTTGTCAGAATTGATTTCCTGTTTTAATCAAGGGTGTAATATATCATTCTTTTTTGAAATGTGTGTGCTCTGACTATATCTAACACTCTTTCTTGGATTAGGGTAAGTCTAAGAAGGGAGAGAAGTAGTGACAGAAACATACTCCCCATTGGTATATTTTCAGTTCCCTTAAATAGATGCAGGTGGTTTTTTGTTTTTTTTTTCACGTGTAATTACAAGCTAAAAATATCAATAATGTGAAGTACAATTTATGCTGTAACTGCCCTTTCAAAGTGAGGCTTTCCTTGTCTAATTCAGGTGGAGAATCTCTGCTTCTGTTTTTTTTTTTCTTTAAATTTACTCAGCCTCATGTCTTTTGGTGAAGTTTTTACTTTCTTTGCTACTTGGAAAGTGGTCAGGAAATTCACTTTTTTTAAACTATGAGTCTCAGTCTCCCGACTCCTTGTGGCAAGTACCTCCTGGTTGTTGACGATCAACAGAGCGGTGAAAATGAACCCACAAGACTGCACATCTAGAGGCCCTAGAATGAATACCCACACTGGTGAGCCATACATGCCTCATCTCTTTCAGAGCCTCAGACTGTCTGGAAAGCCACTGCCCCACAAACACAGTTCAGAAGGCCTCTGTGTCTACTGTTTGCAAATCACATCTAAGCTTTCTTATGGTTCCTAAAAAGATGTTAACAAATGTGACCAGCCAATGACCCAACTAACAAAGTGGTGAACTAAAAATAAGCAAAACACAAAACCATCGAACTTTCATGAAAATCCAATCTATCAAACTTTCCAGAGGGATCTGCAATGAAAGAATTGCTGAAGCAGGGATGTATTTTTCCAGCCTGTGACTTTGAGGCTCTACTTTCTAATCCTCCTCAAAAGACTACACAATACTGCATTCATAAGAAAATATCCTGGGAAAAGAAGGCCTGGGTAGGAGAAGAGGGGAGGGGAGGGTATGGATGTGTTGATAGTAGCATTGAGCTGCCTCTGAGTATGTGAGAGGCTTTCATTAGTAAGGACTGAACTATTCTCGGTGTCTTTGTCCCATAACTTCCTATCTGTTGAGTGGCAGGATGGTGAGAGAATCCCTGGCTCAGAGAGAATCCTGGGCCATTACAGCTGGAGACCTTTAAAATAGGGTCTGGTCTAATGAGTAAACTGAAGAGCTCAGAGAAATTGAGCAATTTGTTCAAAGTCACACATATTTGTAACACATGTTGTTTAGGTTTAGGCCAGGAGGGCTAGTCCAGGATCCTGCCCCTCTCCAATACAAATCCTCTGTAGCTGAGTGACTTTCTCACAATTACAGCCACACAAAGCATCAGGAAGCTGTGAAGCAGTGAACAGGCTACCAAGACCACGTGGGCCACCTGATACAAATCTCTGCATTGCATGAGGAGGATCAGTAAATTCTTTTGAAGGCCCTATCAAATCCTGAGATCCTATAGCTCCAAGAGAACACTGTGTGGCCTACATGTCAGGCAGTGAGAACAGACCCTGGAGGCAGGAGGGGAGATTGCTTACTTGTGAAAGTCCTCAATGCAGTGGATGAGGCCACCAGCATCCACAGTGAACGGGATCCCATCCAGGCTACGGTGGCACATCACACAGGTGAAGCAGTGAGGATGGTAGGCCTTCCCGGTAGCTCGGAGAATCCGCTCCATGATGGGCTTGGAGCACACACTGCACTGCTCCAGGGTATTCTGGAGAGAGAAAGAACAATGCTGATGATGAGGTGGCCCTTCAACAGTGACTTACAGTACAATGGGCACTGTCATAGGACACACTGGCATGGGTGCTCACCACAGTCAGTATTTTATAATCTTTATTCTAGAGAAAAGGAAACACAGTCAGATGGATCACGTGGTTTGTCTCAGGTCATCCAGGTAAGACTTGGCAAATGTCAAATTTAAAACACATCTTCTGACTCCTCCCCTTGTTCTTTCCCACTACGGCCTGGTTGATGGCAGACTTTTAGGTAAAGACCATAGAGGACATATATCTGGCTTTCTTTCAACAGTGCAATTTTGCCATTACAGTGCAAAGACAGCCATAGACATACATAAACAAATGGGCATCATTGTGTTTTAATAAAACTTTATATACAAAAGCAGGTGGTGCTCTGGATTTTGGCCTGTGCTATAATTTGTTTATCCCTGAACTATGCAACTTAGGTTCTCCACTGGAAGAGTGCTTCACTATTACTTCCAACACTTGCTTCATCATCAAAGACCTCGTGGAGCCATCAAGGACCCTAACATTTTCCAGTGTGGTCTGTCTGGTAACAGACACACAGAGCATGCAGGCTGCTGACCTCAGGCATAGCTCAGCACAACCAACAAGGCCAGTGATCATGAGTACTTGACTCAAACATCAACTCCAGTGTAATGTTATAAGCTCTCAATGGAAAAATTGAACCTAGAGGGGTTCCAGTTTTGAGAGATCAATTAAGAAAGTCAATTTATCTATAATAGCCGCAGAGATATACTGAGTTTTAAAAATAAATATCCCCGCCTAAAGAGGACACCGTTTATAGAGTCAGGACTATGAAAGACTGATAAAATTACCTGTAAACTTTTCATTTTTCCCTAGAAATTCATGTGCTCTTTCCTAACAACCATGCTTCACATGTAATATGCTATATTCCAATTGAGATGTCTAGACTGAGTCACTGAATTTATAACCTAGAATAAATCAGGGATGGGTATCTGATGAGAGATGTGCAGAACTGGAAGGGGTATGGAAATTAAGGAGTAACTACCCTCATACCAGGAGAGCCTTTAAATGGCCATTAGGCAAGAAGTATCTGTGGGTAGATAACAAATATATTAACATCTCAACTCAGCAATGGTCTCCGATGGGCTTCCTTGTTTGCATGCTGCTTCTTTTGTAATACTTCCCTGTCCCCAAAGTGACTGCCAGTTTCCTTTCCAAACCACAGATGTGAACAACTAATTTTCTTGTTAGCAAAAACTTATATGGCCTAGCAATGTAAATAGAGCTAGTTCCATATCTGACATTCAACATTCCTTTCTATAACAACTTCCTTAATGTCTGGGACTGCTCACACACACACTCACACCTATGAGAAACTTCCATACTCTCGCGCATTGGCTAATTAATTGCAACTTGCCATATTGACCTTTCTAAGTATGGGTCAGAAAGCAACTTCACAGCGAAGCTTTCCTTGATATCTTTATTTGGAATAAACTGATTCCTTCTATCCGCTTCCTGAGACTGTAGTGCTCACAAGGTTCACTTGTGTTAAAATTATTTGTGCATCTGTCTATTTCCTCAAGGGCTGGGACTATGTCTGAGGAATGTATTTCTCTGTCCCATATTACACCTAGTATACTACCTAAAACAAAATAAGCTCAGGGTGAATGTGTGCTAAAAGAATGAAGGAAGGCATTTTGTTTACCTCCCACTTGCAGCACACTACTGGCCTGACTCCCCTGACTCAGGAATCTCTCCTAAGATGAATTAGTAAATCCATCGCTGTCCTCTCTTCAAAGCTTGGTTGCTGTGGGTACTGAAATTGTTCAGTGTACCTCTGGTCACATTCTAAACTCATGGAAACTATTAACCTAGATTTTAAAGTGGTAAAATTAAAATAGCAGAGAAACATAAGAGGAAAGTCTGGAGACAATGATGGTCTGGACAATGAAGGCCTTGCTACTCTTCTATCCTGGTGATCTGAGCTAATGTGGCTAGAAATCGTCTTCCTGAGACTTGTATTTTGTTCCTCTTGTGGGTTTTAAATTTTAACATTTTTTTAAGGGCAGCCTCTAATGTAGTTGAACAAACCAGAAAATGCTTGGCCAGAAAATGTTATCGTTTGCTTTGAGGCTTGGCTGCAAGTTTCAGTCAATTTACTTAAAGCCACCATGACCTATAGAAGCATTATTTAAAAGACAGATAATCTGGACATTTCTTTTACAAAGGCAAAACTGTGTAAAATATGCCTAAAGTGAGATTATTATGAAATGTCCACATATGAGAAATTAAAGGTTCTAAGAATGCAGCTGTTAGCCTGGACTAGAAAATGGCATCAGAGGACAAATTAACCTTGTCTAGGCAGTTCCCTTTATTGTACTCATCTCCTTTCAGTCTTCAATTGGTCTACTAGGACCCTTAGACATATATTCTTCTAGAGCAGTGTTTTCCAAAGTGTGGTACGCGTACCCCCAGGGGTACAGGAAGAGTTTGGTGGGGGTATGCTTTGCACCAGAGTTTGGTGGGGATATGCACTGCACTGTGCTTAGCTGCGCCCAATTGTACGTTCTCATGAGTATGAGGGGTACTCAGAGTTACGAAAATTATAGAAGGGGTACACATATGTCAAAAGTTTGGGAAACACTGTCTTAGAGAAAGGACAAAGACTCTTACAATGTCAGAGAGGACGGCACTGAACATTCCTGTAGTCCAGGCCTCTGATTTCAGAGGTGAGAAAACAGACCTTGAGCCCTGATGTAATTGGACCTGGGCAATGGAGTTCAATAGGGGCAGACATCAGACTGGCATTGTTCAGAGGAGGTATGATGAATTCATTATGTAGTCCTAGAGAGGGAAAATTGCCAGATAAAAACTATGAGTTATCCTTCTGGCTTTGTCAACATGCAGCATACAACTTTGGGTAAATAATTTCTTCTCTCTAGACCTCAGTTTTCTTGTCTGTAAAACAATGATTAATTTTAACTCTGTAATTTTATTACTATGTGATACATCAGTGTTAACAACAATAGGAAAAGGCCAATGTTTCCAATATAAGCTATATACTAGAAACACCAGGATAACCCCTTGTTTGATAATATAAACAGAGGGTTCGTGTATTAGAATTCTACACTATGTAACATCTACTATGCCTGGAATTTTACTTGGAATTCCAGAAATTGCTGTTGGTTGAATTTCAAGCACCATAGATGATCTTTGTGTCTTCACAAAGTAGGTTAAAATGAAAAGGTTAATAAATGATTTTTAAGAAAGTAAAACAAAAGAAGGTTTTTAAGCAAAAGAGTGGAAGAATATGTAGGGTAGGGGTGTTGTGATTGATCAGTGGGTAGGTAGGTGAGAAGAGCCTACACCGGCTTAAGAACCTTCAAATGCAGAAATGTGTTTTATGAGCTGGCTCTGGATCAGCCTCTGCTGCTCTCCCCACAGCCTCCATCTTCCTGCAGTCATGAGCTTTCTGAGACAATTTTCATAAGCTATGTTCTACAAGCTCAGACTGATTCATATCCTTTCTTTTTTGTCTAGGGAATACCTAGTCATTCTTCAAAGTTAAACTCAAGTGTTACCTCTTCTGCACAACCTTTTCTAATTTTCCCTCTGCTATATTCCAAGAAAATGAGTCACTTCCTCCAGTCCCATAAGATTGTATAATGTTTCTCTTATGCCACTGAATATAAAGTACTTGATTTAATAGTATGACCAAACTGAGCCCACACCTCTCCCCTGTCCCTGCAATGGAGCCATATGCATAGGTTGAGTTTCCTAGGAAACATTCTGAAACAGAGATTTGCACATGGGAAGTTACTGAAGAGTGTCTTTGAGATAGTCTTTGAGATCAACACCTGTGAAGGAGTGCAGAAAGTTCCTGAGTAGAGGAGTTGAACTAAGATGCAGTTACAACAAAGGATTCTGATGGTTCCATGGAATAGTCTGGAGCTGGAATGGCCCTGCAGAATTGTTCTTTCTTGAAACTAGGAAATAGAGAACTTGTACCACTGCACCTTGAGTGAAGATGAAGTTCCATTGAGGGTAATTACCAGAGAAGGACTCAGCTATGAAACATCAACTGCCAATAATCCCAGCATCTGGAGGAATGAGAGCCTCAGCCTTGAGAGGGATCTGGGCAGTGTATTACAGCATCCCCAGCAGCAACATCCTCACCCACACCTGCATAGTCCATAGCATACAGTAGACAACTGGTAACCAGCTATGACATAAATACCTTATAGTTTACTCTGAAGAAAGAGTCTAAAGTTTATTCTTTTTAAAATAAAATCTTGGCATTATTTGAAGATTTTTAAGGATTTTTATAAATTGTTTTGGGCAGCTACTCCAATGAAAATATAGTTTAAAAGGAAAAGATGTTATAGAGTAGCAGAAAAAAGCCAAAGAAGAAATTAGCTGTTAAAATGCACGGCTTTAAACTCTTCTGAGATGATGGCAATACGACTGTGATTAAAAACAAAAAAAGTTAAGTAAAAATAAAATCACACAAAAAATCTTATACACATAACTTCCCAAAGCAACTGTTTTTAGAGATACAATCTGGTTGTATCTTTTCTATCCTTGGATATTGTATAAATAACTTTTCCAATTCACAGTCAGAAGCTGGAAGAATCATCTGAATATAAATGAAGCATATAGGTAGCATAAGCATTAGCTTCTAGTAGATTATAAGAAAATAACATTTTTATAATTTATATATTGCATAGGTATACATGTGTTCAATGTTAAGTATTTTATTTAAAGAGACATAAGTATTTGAAGATTCAGCAAACTCTAAAGTGTTGCCATTTAGAAATGTTAAATTTTTCATTTCATAAAATTAAAATGTAACCTTATATTCAATCTTTATTTTATTTTTTTAAAAGACAAGAAAGCAGTTTTGAAACAGGAAAGACTCTTGGAAAGGTAAGGGTGACATCTCACATTCTAGATACAGTTTTGGTTTTATTGGGATAAGAATAATAAT